AACCGCTCCTCAAAGAAACGTGGACAAAAATGAAAACGCTGCGAACTTATGAGACGACCCGCGACGACCCCAGAAACTTATATTTCCCGCGCCATATGTAACTTAATTTATGAGTCTGCACACTGTGCGCAGCAAGTGACGACATCTCACAAGCAACTCCTCAGTAAAACCTTTTCTAGCGTAGCATGTAAATGTGTTGTTCTGATTAATATATAACAATTAAAGCAAATAGACAAGGAGACAATTAGAAAGCTCTGTATACAATTTTAACCTTACAAGCCGTCAAGTAGCGAGCACAATGTGCGATACGCACATAAAGTTACAAGATATTTCTCAAAGTTCAATAGACTATATTTTTACGCTACCAGCAATACTCGTGCTTAAAAATTGGCAAAATTCGCAAAGCTCAAGATCTGGGCTTTATAATTATTTTTGATGCGCAAGTTTTGTCATCACCGTAGGGACACTACTTCAACGGCTAAGTAGAGCAGACTACAGCTTTCTATGTTCAGTGTGGTGCTTATTTGATGTCTGACATGGCTCACATTTCTGGACTCGTTGCTGCTGGTGTTATTCCTTCCCCATTCGAGTACTCAGACATTGTCACCACTACCACACATAAATCACTTCGAGGGCCACGTGGAGCGTTGATCTTTTATAGAAAAGGTAATTTAGTGCTTTTTTAGCTTTGAATATCCTAGCTTTTACATCACATTCCAGGTGTCCGATCCACGAACGCTAAGGGTGAGAAGATTATGTACGATCTTGGAGAGAAGATTTCTACGGCTGTCTTCCCAGGATTGCAAGGAGGACCACACAATCATACCATTGCTGGTAAGTCTAACCTTTAAGTTGAAGCGACATAGATCTTGGAACGGTGATTCATTGCGACAATCTAAAATAAGTTCGTGACATCGTATTAGACTGGACCTGACAGTAATGAATCCCTTTCCCACAGTCTATGGAATGTGCAAAGGAAAAATTCAACAGATTTAGAACGGATGTTTGTATAAGGCTCCAAAAGAATCCTTTCTAAACGAGTTATTTTAGTT